AAAGCCATTTATGTCTTTAATGTTTTTTTTTAAAGAAATATTACCCAAATGAGAACTTAATCTCTCACTCGAGTTCTTGTTTGAACTTTGACGAAAATAGAACATTAATTCAGCAACAAAGTTTGATAAATCGGTGCAGAGATGAAAGGTGGAATTTGATTGGATTTTATCATACATTGTTTATTAGTGGATTACTAGGTGTTAAAATGTAACAAGATTTTTGATTGGCTCGTGACAAATGGGAATGAGGGTTAAGCTCCAAGATAGTAGTCACTGTTGTCAAGTTAGTGGGTTATAAATATGAGGATATCTACACTATGATAGTCTCATTCGTCAAGTCTCTGGTTAGCTAACGTTAAGGTTAATAGTCATGATTATCAAGACTTAGTCACTGATTGATTTTTGCCGTGACTTTACGTTGTCTGTCGATAAATTCCCTGGAGGGGAAAATTGATAAGGATTAGGAGTTTTCAAAGGAAATTAATTCCTTAGGGAATGAATTGAGCTGCTAAACTTTAGGGATTTTGGTGGTGTAGGTTCGAATCTTCATCAAGAAGAATATATTTTATTTGCAAGGAGGAAATCATTTTCTTTGGCAAAATGAGATTGCATTGTAAACCTTTGAGATTTTGGCGCCAAGGGTTTGAATCTTAAAGTTGTGTAAGGTAAATGTTTTGCTCTCAAAAATGCAGATTAAGTCACTAGAATTTGTTGAAGGAACTATTGGTCAGACATTCTAGAGCTGTAGTCTGACAGGCCTGGTTAATCATCCAAAACACAATTTTTCTAGCATTATTTCGAAACAAATGAGGTAATGACAAATGCCACCATTAAAATCCAATAACGAACCTCAATCTGAGAAATTTATATCGTGACCAATATTAGAGTTCTTTCCTAGGTCACAAGTTCATTGGTTATTTGGTTTCAATCATTTCGTCCAATCATATTATTAGTCTAATTTGTTTCTCGTTTTTATCGTGGTCCGACAGATATGCCAATTGATCATTTTTAGAATGTGGAATCTCAGGATGGGATTTTGACTTGATAATCACAATTGCAGAGTATCATTGGGTGTCCTAGAAGAGGCAGCATGTAATTTTCAGAATTTTTGAATGGAATTTCCACATAGCCAGTAATGTTGTTTGATATTTTGATAAATGAATTGTAATCATTATTCGAATCAGACGTGAAAAAAGATTGTATCTAATAAGAGTGGTCAGTTTAGAGCTGGGATATAATCATCCAATCACAGGCCAGTTTGATATTAACCTCCGAGATCAACAAGTAACAGGAAATCAATAAAGCAACCAATCAAATTGTATTAAAGATTGTAATGAAAGTATTAGATACACGAACGGAAACCACCTGGGAGCAGACCTTCAGGAAGAAATATAGGTTGATTATGTCATTATCTTTGGACAGTAGATAGCGTTCATGGACGCTAATTTGACCTATGTATTATCAGATGGGACAGGCTGTGCACGTTAAAGATCCCTCGACAGTTGGAAATCGAAAAAGAGTAGACTAATGCCCCTGTCCTGGCAAAAATTCCCTCATTGCACCTAGCAGGGCATTGCCCGTCTTCATTAGCCCACATGTTACAGAAAAGTTGGACGTAAAACTCCATTCAATTTAATATTCATCAGTAGATGTAGAGAGTTCACATTATTGGCTACTGATGTCAGGGAGTCCACAATGTTCACTAGTCGTTATGAGATAGTTATCAGTGTACTGTAACAATGATTTGAGAGGTCCAGGGGATAATTAATGAAACCACTAACCATGACTGTCCTATTGTAATCAGTACTTGAAGTATATTACAAGCCCTTCAGCTAGTATACTTTACTTTAAAGAGACGATTGGAGACATTTCTGAAACACAACAACTAGAAATAATTTGGATTTCTGGTCTTCATGAATGGTAAGTTTTAAGCCCTAACACCATAGCGATTACCAGTTGTGTATGGTGGTGAATAATGAAAGTGGTTATAAGTTCCGAACACAACTCACAACTCAGATGGAAGTGAGTTATTCGCAACTATACACTCGCAACTGTTGATTGCTATGATGTGAGATGCCAATTCTCAATTTTTAGGGCCATGTTTCCCTGACTTTTGGAATCCTGGTACACAATAATAATGACCATATGACATCTCCTGGTCTGGTACCCCTCAACAACCAAGAATCAAAACCGAAGACCATGAAGCTAGTCAGACCATTACTCACCTGTTATTTTGTGGTGGAAAGCCGGTTTTTATGTGACTTTTAGTAACTTCTTGGTTCTCTTTAAAGTAATTTGAAACAAGTTTGATAAATAGTGGAGTAACAAACCAACATAGTTTATATATCATGGTAGAAAATTGGGTCATTTTTAACCTAAACACCATCAGAGAGAGTAGTAGACAGGATGTTTTCATTGAAGTCAGCGTTTTTTATAAATTAAATGTTTTAGGCAATTAGGTTAGCCCGGTCATGTTGGTGGATGTAACACACAGAAGTGTTTTAACAGTGCTATTCTTTCAGTTTGTATCTTAAGAAGTCAGAACTGTTTACATCTGAACCTAAATTTTTTGGGCATTGTTTATTTCATAGTCCGCAATAAAATGTCAAGAAAATGGATGAAAATTTAAAGGTTTGTTTGGTTTTTGTATTTGTAAGTTTTTATCATAAGTTCACAACAACAAATCTGCAATATTTATCAGAGTTAGTTCCTTTAAGTACAATTTAATGAAGATTTATCAGAGTTGGCTCCTTCAAATACAAGTAACTGAATTTATATCAGAGTTCCTTTAAATGTGAGTTAGTAAAGATTTATCACAGTTAGTTCCTTTAAATACACATTACAGATTTTTTGAGCCATTAATAATGAGCCATACTTATAATGATTGTTTCCAGCCATGCAATGACTTGTTAATAGGAAAACAATAATGATGGCAATTAAAGGTCTGGTGTCCGTTGTTTCATATGACGAGACATGAGTAGGTTGTGATTATGATTACAAATTAATGAAGTCTATTTTGCCCGAAGTGTATGGAAAAATTGTCGAATCGCTAGAATGTCACAATCAGGTGAGGCCCTGTGTGCTACAGGCTGTGCATATTAAAGATCTCTCAGCTTATGCCGCTGTTCTTGTAAAATTTCCCTCCATTTCACACTTCATGGCAATGCCCATCTACATGAGCCTTTTTTTTGCTTTTCGCATTTTTCTCCAAAGAAATGATTGTCTCAGATATCGAAAAGACAAACGTTAATTTGAATGGATGATGTTTATAGTTTGTGATCTCAATTTATTCCTCCTTTCATCTCTAACAGACCTTTTCTATCCTTTAATATTAGAGAGTAGATTAAAGGGAGGGAAATGATCAATGTAAATATCGTCACATCTTTTATCTTACCGGGAAATGTCAATATCTTAAATTACTCTTGAACTATCCAGTCAGCATTTCTATTGTTTCCTATAGTAATAAAGTGTCTGGTATAATCAGGACTTTGTATCAAAAGTTGTTAATTTGACAAGTCGGGTTTCCGTGAAGAGTGTTTGAGGCTATGATTATGTGATGTTCGGAAATATTACACTGACAGGCCTGAGATGAAGTGTAAATTACGAATTCCGTTTAACTTTGTCTAGTCCAATCATTCATCTCAGATTTAGAAGCCTTGATTATCAAGTTAACATTTAGTCGTTAATGGAAAAATCGTCAAGGGAAGAAGAAGACAACATTCCTCACAAAAATACTCATGACTGCGGTGAAAATATGAGAGTTTTTGCCCACTTTTGAAACGTTTGCTACACTATCCTGGCAACATTTTCCTCTTTGCACACTGTATGGTGTTGTCCATTTTCAGAAGCCCTCTTGGTTAGGCTGCAAGACTGAGGTATTTTCCGGTATAAGTAAGCCACAAAGTCTGAGAACATACGTTGGCATTGAGATATACAGAAGAGGTTGTTATTAAGGTTAAGATTATTCAAATAAAGTGTTAACAAGTGGACCAAAATGCTACGAGGTTTTATCCAAGATGACTGACTATCGAGAGTGGCTAGACGATATTGACAGACGGATCACTGTAATTCCCCGCGACTATCTAATTGGATAAAGAGAATAAATGTCTAAGCTTCGATAATTTCCTCCAATAAGAGAAATTGAGATGAATGTTTAAGTCTGTGTATTGAAAGGCTAAAATGTCAGGACTTCTAAGGCTTTGGTAGCCTAAATGGATTTAATGGAAACTTAAAACCAGTTGAAAGCAAGATGAATGCTAGAAGGTTTTTTTGAAATGGTGTCATTTTCTTTTTGAAAAAAGGTATCAAATTAAATTGAATTAAAATGAATCAGATTCAAGGAGAGAGGTGTAAAGATTATCTTTTGTAAAGAAGAAATTTAAAAAATAGAAATTTGATTTTGTAAAGTCGTCAATTTAGAATTCTATAGTTCTTTATCATGATCGTTCAGTAAAGTTATGGAATTGTTGAGAAGGCAGACAGAATCTATGTATTTAATGATTGAATAGAAACATCCAAATGAAATCTAGTTAAAACAGATCAATCAACACAACTAGAACACAAAGCAATAGCTTGTGGATTGAACACAAAATAATAGTTCCAACACAAAACAATGGCTTGAACACAAAACAATAGCTCAAACACAAAAGAATAGCTTCAACACAAAAGAATAGCTTGAACACAAAACAATGGCTTGAACACAAAACAATGGCTTGAACACAAAAGAATAGCTTGAACACAAAACAATGGCTTGAACACAAAACAATGGCTTGAACACAAAACAATAGCTCAAACACAAAACAATAGCTAAAACACGAAAGAATATAGATAGCACACAAAACAAAAGCTTAAACACAAAACAATACATTAAACACAAAACAATACATTAAACACAAAACGATTTCTTGAGCACAAAACAATGGCTTGAACACGAAACAATAGCTCAAACACAAAACAATATAGATTTAAATTTAAATCCGGTGTTATTTTATATCTTACAGGAGCACACTTTAGTTGGTTCCCACAATGCCAGAGTCAAGCAAGATATTCACCTATCAGGATTGGGAATTCTACCAGAGCACTGTGTTGTTGATATAGATAACAATGAAATCTTCCTGACTCCCTTTGATGGAGCAAGGTATACACATTTTTTCATCATTTATTTTAACTTGTCTTGTAAAAATTTCCCTTATTGCATACTGCATAGGTTTGCTATACCAGCTGATAAGAGCTCCATTTCAGCCACCTTTATCACTTTTTAAAACAATAACCTAACCTCCAGTTTAATTACATGCATTGATTTATTAACTAATGACCTTGGCATTGATTTATTCACTAATGACCTTGGCATTGGTTTTTAATAACCAATGATATTGTTATACTTCCAGAACATGTGTAAATGGTTCAGTGATAAAAGATAAAACGAAAGTAAAACATGGAGATCGGATATTGTGGGGAAATAACCATTTCTTCAGAGTCAATTGTCCCAAACCAACCAACAGTAAGTATTTAGATTCCTGCTGTTTTTGATGCTCATAGTTTGTCCAAAAGCGTAGGACTCTTATGCTCATTTGAGGTGGCATCTCTTTTCATTTCATTAGTGGGGAATAGTGAGAATAAAAGGATCAAGTTGAACTAGCAGAGTGAGTCCATAAAACTTTTTCGTTTCTGACCAATAAGGTGCAGATTATGGTAGAAAATCAGCTGCGTCAACCACTTTTTACATTTTAGGTCCCCAGTCCTCAGAACCAGAGAATCAGTTGATAGATTATGACTTCGCTCAGCATGAACTGATGATGAAAGAACTAGGGGATGATCCCATACAGGAGGCCATCGGGGCCATAGAGAAACAACATGAAGAGGAGAAACAAGGTGAGAGATAGGGCGAAAATAGGCGATAAGGAAGAGCTCATCTCATGCTGCTGACATGTGTTTCAGATACACAAGTCCCATCTGGACAACTGGTATCGAAAGGGTTGTCAGTTTTGAGACTTATGAAGCATTGAGTTTTTATGTATCATTGGAAGGGGAGCAGAATAAGGGCCACAGGATTGTCAACAGGGGCTCAAAAAAGACCAGAGCTGGTCCAGATCTAAGTTCTTATTCTTGTAATAAGAAGTAGTAAGCTACAGATGTGTCTGCTATTCAAGCACACCTTTCAGAGAGTCCACACAGTTATTTACATTTTCTTTTTGTCTCTCCAGAGGCTCTCGATAAACAGCGTCAAATGTACGAACGACAGATGCAGATGTTGCGTAACAAATTGATGTCACCAGGCAACCCATCGTTTCCCATGCAGCTGTTCGAGATGCCCCGACTAACACCAACTGGTAACCCCACCACACAAAACAGTATACAGAAAAAATACCAGCAATGGGCTGTTGACAGGTAAGTTATGGATAATCTTTTTGTCTTGGTAGGCCATCAGTTTCCATCGAAGAGGACCTTCATCACATATTTTCGGGACAGCTAAATCCAAAGTAGAGCAATATGACAGCCTCTTTGGATTCCCTATCCCATAATTCGTCATCATTATCATGAAATAGGTTCTTTATGACATGCTTTGATTGGTTGACAACAAAAACATTAGAACGGGAGTGCTGTAGAAAGCTTGTTAGATTACAATGGAGACTAAACATAAAATTGCCAGTTGCAAGATCCTCAGTAAGTAACATTGGCTTGCCATAGCAGTCCAACTCCAAAGCAAACAATAATTCAGTCCATACTTAAAGCCATGTTAATAATCGATAATGAAGTCTGTAATATAAGTTGTTAATTAAGATTATTTAAGATAGTACTAGTGACTAACGATGTGGAAATTACTGCAAATATGCATCAAGATGTGCAGTCAAGTTGAAAATTCCAAAGATGGTATCTGGCTGGTTTATGCAAATCTTTTGCCTTTATTCTGGCAGTCTTTGATTATTATCTGTAATTTATGCGCATAATTATGACAGTTGATTAGGTAATGATGCCAGATAATGGTTGGAATTGCTCTGTTAAGTATTTGGGAAAGTCTGATGCCTAGAGATTAAAAGCTGGTTTAGAAAGATGGAACCGTTTCTCAACATTCTGGTTCTATGAACAGAGATATTAGACCTTAGCGCTAGGATATCCTAGGGTCTTAAGATCATTTCAAAAATACGCGTCTCTTTTGCAAAGGACTTGAAGGAATGCTCCCTTTTTATCCTTTAAATCTTACTCCAGTCTCCATTATGTAAATTAACAGCAATGAATTTTCATGTATATATAATTTATGTGCATATTGATATCCCTAAGGAGTTGATATTGATATATATTGAACTAAGAAACATGTACATGTCATATCATGTCACTGAATTCCATAAATCCACATTTGTTGACAAATATTATCACAGACATTACTTAGAAGATTTAAATAATTCCAAATTTGAAATTCAAAAGCTGAAAAGATTTTCGACTTAATGTTTTATTTATGGCATGTAATCTCTAAACTATTTAATAATCTGTCTGCATTTTCAATCTCCAACCATACATTATTAAATATTGTATCATTTTGACATTTTAGCCAGACGTGTCACTAACAAATTTTCAATTTAGCATGTTACGTGTTAACTTGTTAATTTTTAAATATCATATTAGAGTGGAGAAAAGATATTAGTCGATTCAAAACTTAAACACGAGCAATCCACTTTTCATATACAGAATTTGTTAAATCTCCAAACTACATACAACGTTTAACGTATATTTGTGAATATAATGCACAGTTTTTTACCCTAAAATGTATGTACATTATGGACAGTGGCAAAACATTTTTTTTGTTTATTGCAGGGAAAAATCTTTCAAACAGAGTTTATCCAAGTTAAGAGAAGAGGTTGTGAAGGCCAATACTCTGGTTCGTGAAGGCAACTTCTTGTCACAAGAGATGAACAAACAAACAGAATTTCATGTGACCTTACAGATTCCAGCTTCCAATCTTAGTCCCAATAGACGAGTACGTATATACGATTTATTGAAATAGTTCATTCGTAGGAGTAGTCAATGGGGCCGACTTAGACAAATTGTCTAGTTGTTCGGATGGGACAATAAACCGAGGCCCCATGTGCTACAGACTGTGCACGTTGAAGATCCCTTGACAGTTGGGAATCGAAAAAGATTGGACTAATGCTGCTGTCCTGGCAAAATTTCCCTCATTGCACACTGCATGGCAGGACTCCATTCATTTCATGAAGATATAAGATAACTTGTTTGCTAGGCAAGGTAACATACACCAACGACAAGTTGACAATGGAGACATTTTTGCTGACTGATGACTTAATATTTTTTGCCTTCTGCCATTTTCCAAATTATTTGGTGCAATTGACCAATTTATGCATCATCAATTGTAGCCTACATGCCTTTTCTGATTTTTTTTTTCTAGAGAGGAGCATTCATAAGTGAACCCGCCATCTTAGTGAAGCGGCAAGGTCGACCGAATCAGATCTGGTCCATGGAGAAGCTAGAGAATAAAGTGATAGATATGAGAGAAGTGTATGAGGAAAGACGGAATCGTGGTTTACCAATGATGGTTAGCTCCCCTGATTGTAGCTTTACGTCAATGTCGTCCAGTTTTAACGAATCTGGTCTTATACCTACAGCTTTTCACCCTTTAGACAATGTTGTAAGCACGGCATGATTTTTTTTAGTTTCATTTTATTTTTTCTTTCTCATATTTTTTGTCACTTTCGTTCCGTTTTTTTTTCTTAGCTTTTATTTTTAATATTGCCTCTTCAGTTAGGGTCTAACGACAGCCTTCTTGAACACTCGTCGAATTAACCTTTTGACCTAACCTGTTAAACACCGCAGCACAAAATGCTAGCTCGGGAGAGGGTAGAAATTTGATTGGTGAAAGCAGATGTCATCGAGTTAGGTCAAAAGGTTAATTTGATGAACATTCAAGAGGGCTGTCTTTAGACTCTCACTGCAGTGGTTATACTATTATATATTAAAAATAAAAGCTAATAAAACAAGGAACGTCTTTAGATTTAGTTAGGATTCTTTTAGATTTTTTGTTAATTAATTTCTTTAAGATTTCGAATTGATGTGATGTTAGTAGTTCTGATTTCCAAATTCCTTTTAAAGTCAAATTATTAGTCCAAATTGTAGATATAGATAAACATTGTTTATGTGTAGTTTAAGAATTCTTTTTTTAGATTTATTTTTGTCCAATTGTCCAGTACACTTTATTTAATTTGAATATCCATTTTTCATTTTGTGCTCTCCATTTCATACCAACATTTGTATTCGAGAGACAGATACGCCATTCGTTTGACCAATCCTACCTTAGTCTCAGAAACAGGAATTTTTTAGCTGAGATTATCAGTAATAGTGTTCACAGCTCACCATCGAAATTTGAGCCTTCAAATCCATGTGTGTCTAGAATTATCTACGTTTGAAAGTTAGAATGACGACTCGTCTTTTCTTAAGACACTACCATATATAGAAAAGACATCTGTAGAAATAGAAAGTGAAATTTCTAGTTTAAGTCTTTGTGAATATTCAAATCAAAAGCTGGTATTGCTTATGCTTCTTTTTCACAGGATGAAGGTCCACCTCAGAAAGGAGATCCATTCTATGAATCACAAGAGAACCACAATCTGATTGGTGTAGCTAATGTATTTTTAGATTGTTTATTTTATGATGTCAAACTGGACTATCATGTTCCTATTATTAGTCAACAAGGAGAGGTAGGTACTGCAGGTCAAATTACTTCAGGTGAGTTCTTTGGATGATCTCTTTGGAGTCTTATTTTTAGAAGTGGTACTAAGGGATTGTAAAGAGGTTTTCTGGATTTTTTAGGACACTGAAAGCATTTAGTGGTCATTCACAAAAGGCATACTGTTTCTAGGATGAGCATCAAAAAGAAACAACTATATTTTACAAGGATGATAACTTAGGTTCACAATTAAGGATCCTTTCTACCAGCTGGTCCTTGGTCAAACCATTTTGTATTGATCTTTCCTGGATTATCCGTACTTTACAGCTGGGTCAACTGGAATTATGAGTTAAGATGACTTATGCGAGGTCATCGGACTTTCACACGCTGATCGAGATTAGAACCCACAACTGCCATTTGTCTGACCAAGCAAATCACATCATGTAAAGAACCAAAAGTCTGGGCCTTATGGGTTTTTCACAAAGCTAAGGTACATTTCTGCCCTCTCTATTTAAGATAACTGGTAAACTGCACATAGAGCTGTCCAAAGTTGGTGGAGCAGTATTGGACAGATATGTTGATATACATGAAAGCGGGGAGGAAAATTCTGTGCCTATGGGAGCACCTTTGTTAGTGAGAGTAAGTTTCATAATCAAGCCTATAATTATTGACCTTGGCCTGTGCTTTTATGGGAATATCAGACTTTCACAATGTGTTAGGTTTGCAAAATTGAATGATTTTTCCAAAGCCTTTGAATATATATTATATATATTAAGCGCACCACAATATTTTTCAAACAAGAACAGCCAAGAGAGACTTAATATTTGTTCACTTTTATGTTTTATGGATGTTCTCTATCCTAGGTGTGTATAAAAGAAGCAAGAGGCCTGCCACCAGCACTCTGCCATTTTGTGTTTTGCCAGTACTCGTTTTGGGGATTGTCTGATACCATTGTAGTTGCTCCTGAAATTAATCCTGACAACTTGACTGAGAAACACGATCAAAGTCTTTCATTCATATTTAACCACCAAAAGGTAAGCAAAGGGATCTGAAGGACAGTTTAATTAAGCCAATCTAGAGGGTGTAAACATAGCAAGAATGACAGCCGTAAAGATGTAGCTCTTATTTTGTGATCTTCTTGCTTTGTCTGTATATGTTTTGATCTTGGAGACGCAGGCTGAAATAGATCAGTTATCTGAAGATCACACAGCATGAAACTCTGAGTTACAACAACATGTTTCAGGTTCTGTTTTAATAGAATAGACCTCAACCATCTTTCCAAAAAAAGTTCTTCCTTTCTGAATGTTCATTTTAGACTTGTTTTTCCAGGATTTCCGAATTCCAATAACAGAAGAATTTATTGAGCATTGTTCTGAAGGAGCCTTATCAATAGAAGTATGGGGTCATCGGAGTCAGGGATTTGGAATAAATGGGTCCCTAATTGATTCCACGTCAGTTAAAACCAGAACCCTTATTGATAGGTGAGTTATCTCCCTTTATAGTCTTCTGTAGCTAAGTCTAAAAGAGCGTTTGTTCTTTTCATGATGTTATTTGCTTGGTTAGAAGTGATGGGTTCTAATCTTAGGCAGCGTATGAAAATCTTGTTCACTTTTATCTTATTTCTTTACAGATGGAACGAGGTCATGCGGAAGATTGAATTCTGGGTAGAAATTCATGAATTAAATGATCAAGGTGAATATGTTGCTGTGGAAACAACTCACAGACCTGATGTCCCTTGTGCTGGCATCTTTCAACTCAGACAGGTATGTACGTTAAAGGGATTGTAAAGAAGTCTTTTTGAAACACCTGATGGTACTTCTCTCTCTTGAAGAGTCTACCAATATACAATTATTGCTCCCTATTTTGTCATGCTTTTCCAGACATTTTATGTGCATCTATTTGCATCATACTGATTTGCAGTCAGACGTCTCTAGTTCTTGAAATTCCACCTGCAAATGATTTTTATCAATTTTAGGGTCATTCAAGAAGAGTTCTGGTCAGAGTTAAACCAGTGGCAAACTCTGGAACCCTGCCATTGATCTGTGAAGCTATAACGTCCATTAGTGTAGGCTGTATCACGGCTCGTTCCAAACTACAGAAAGGACTGGACAGTTACCAAGAAGAAGACTTGAACCATTTACGAGAGCGCTGGACAGACGCTCTGAAACGACGTAAAGAATACCTGGATGAACAAATTCAACAGTTGATTAACAAACCAGGTAAGGTCAAGGTCATTCTTGTCCTTAGCAACAAACCTCAATTTGAAATAGTGGTTTGATGGCAGCTTCCTTTCCACCTTTGCTTCTTTTGATCAGACATTTTGTCATTTGTAGACAAATCTGAAGCAGATGCTGAAAGAGAAAGAGCTCTGATAGAACAGTGGGTGAGTCTAACAGAAGAACGGAATGCTGTATTGGTACCAGCTCCTGGCAGCTGTATTCCAGGTGCTCCTGCTGATTGGTAAGCACCAGTTTATTACATTACTTCATCAGCATCTCCAGGTTCAGCATTAGCTGCTCATGCAACTACTTCGATGTATTTTAGTTTAAATGGGAAGTAACCAATGTATTCACTCTTTCCTTTCAGGGATCCACCACTAAATGTGGAAGAACATTCACCTGTTTTATTCCTGGATCTTAATGGTATGTAGTATTGAGCTTTTTTTATAAGGCATCCTTTGAAAGGCCAGCTAGCTCAAGCAGTCTTTGATGAAGTTCCCATCAGTACTCTTTGGCATCTAAGGGGCCTTTTTCTCGAAAACTGGCTGAAAATAAAAGTTATTTGAAGGATTTATTCAAATTTTGTACATTTCTAGTACTTCTGAAGACTATTTACATATATTCCTAAAATCCTTTCCCATCTGTTGTAGCTGATGATATGTCCACACCTAACACTAAGGAAGGTCTGCAAGCTGCTGGTGTCAACTCTATATTACCCAAAGAACATGGTTCACAGTTGATCAATCTTCCCATTACTAAATCTTTCCCAGAGAAAGAAAATGTAAGTTTTATTTGCTTTGGGGACAGGCTGTAGCTCAGTTGTTTAGAGTGTTATGATGTCAATGGCTTGGTCACATCAGAGTTAGATAGGATAGGATCCTTACGAACTAGTTCTGACGCCAGATATATTGAAAATGACACATCATTGTTTTCTTTCCAAAGGTTTGTGCTGTTGCATCATGGGATTCCTCCATCCACGACTCTCAACATTTAAATCGTGTGACGCCAGCCAATGAGAGGATCTACGTTATTTTAAAAGCGGTAGTAAGATTAAGTCACCCGGCATCCATGGAACTGGTTTTAAGAAAACGTCTGTGTATCAACATCTATAAGAAACAGAGTTTGACTTCATTCACTCATATGTTAAAAAACAGGATTATTGGAACGGTAAGTGAGAGAATTCCTTGTGAAGCAGAAAATCTCAAAGACATTGAATTACTGTTAAATGGAATGGCTTCTTCTGGGTGTGGCACCAAGCAGGGTATGCTTAGTCTTCCAGACACCCGATACCACTTTTCATTATGAAATACTTCCTCACTTATGATTGATATACTTCCTCATATGAGAGGTTGTGACAGGCAGGGTATGCTTACTCTTCTAGACACCTGATACCACTTTTCATTATGAAATACTTACTCACTTATGATTAATATACCTCCTCATATGAAAAGTTCATTAGCTGCTACCAATGTATTGCCAATATGTTGTTTTGGATTTGGGTTTTGTTGTTTGGATCATTAGTACTATTTTGACTAATATTTTGTATTTTTTGTAGGACTATTTGACATCCAGTTCTATAATCTATGAAGTTGTCTCTAACATTCCAAAGGTTAGTTTCGGCCATAAATTTTAAGGGTCTTGTAACGCACATAGAGTTTGTTGTGGAGGACTGTTTCCATGTCAGTCCTTCTGCCTCGCATCACTGCTAAGGGAGATCCAGAAGTATTCAGTGGCAAAAAGGAGGGTCCATTTTAAGAGTGCCCTGATTTGACACCTCACTTGACTTCAGGCCTCCCTTGACAATACTGTGGCCCCTGCTCTCCCCTCATCTCATCCATCTCGTAATATTTTCCAGGGATCAGAAGATTTAGAAGAAATGGAAACTTTGGCTCAAATGGCGGCTTCCCCCAATCAAATAAATTCTTCAGATGGTGAAACATATATCGAAAAATATATTAGAGGTAAACTGATATGAAATGGAGTTTTACATCTTTCTTTTCTGCACCTGAAATGGTGTTCATGGATTCTAATCTCAGTCGATATGTGAGTCAGATGCAAAAGAAATGATCATGGACATAGTTTTGATGGAAATGGAACCTAAAGCTATCTTATATCGTATATTTGCAAGTATAATGCGCATTTTTTTGCTCAATATTTGCAAAACTGGGGGGCTTGCATTAAGCTTATATACTGTGACAAAATTTTGGAATTTGAATTTGAAATCGTTATTTATTTACAGGTATCTCAGCAGTAGAAAGTATCTTGACATTAGATAGATTACGACAGGAAGTAGCTGTCAAGGAATTACTGGCTGTGACTGGACGATCTGGAGGAATGTTACGTAAAACGACCAGTGTTCCTAACATTAATCAGGTAACGTTACGTTACGGTCTGATACTTTTTAGATTTTTGTCTTTAATAGTATTTTACTAGTTTTTTAACGGCTCATCAAAATGGCTACCCATCTTTAATAGTATTGTGAGAAGTAGATTAGAGAATAAAGGCTCACTTTTGACTTAGAATGAACAAACTTTGTCAGAAAGAGTATGTATTTACCGGTGGACTTACCTGGTGTCATAACTATACAACAGAAAATCTGATAAATCCATAGGTCCAGCGATGAATATAAACTGTTGTTTGAAAATCTAAAGTTATGTTCATTCTAAGAGGGAGTACATCTTTAATATCTCCATAGCAACGTTTTTATTAAATAGCTAGTATTAAAATAGTGTTTGAGAATCAAAATTTAATTAGTTAGTGTTTGAGATTCAAGATTTAATTAGTTAGTGTTTGAGATTCAAGATTTGATAAGCTAGTGTTTGAGAATCAAGATTTAATTAGTTAGTGTTTGAGATTCAAGATTTAATTAGTTAGTGCTTGAGATTCAAGATTTAATTAGTTAGTGTTTGAGATTCAAGATTTAATTAGTTAGTGTTTGAGATTCAAGCTTTGATTAGTTAGTGTTTGAGATTCAAGCTTTGATTAATTAGTTTGAACTAATTAATATATTAATTGTTCGATTAGTTCGTTAGTGTGATTTAACTAACATTTTAACATTATTTTAGATTCTAACTTCGCCTACCAAACTTGAGGAACAGGTACGACTTCTTCTTATATCTCTTGTGAATTCTTAGGCAGCCTATATGAGTCACAGTGGGACGTAGGTCTTTGCCTGTGTGATCCATCTTTTGCTTGGTGTAGTGCCAGGCAAAGTATACTTACATTTTTGGACACCTGATACCACTTTCCATTATGGAATATTTACTCACTTATGTTTCTGACTTGTTGTTTTGGATTTCTTGTTACAGTTTATTTGAAAATATTTCTAGTAATGATCCATTTTTGTTGTATTGACGTTTCAGATTCGAGCAGACAGCATCTCCGATCTCAGTTTTGATCCTTTGTCTCCCAAATCACAGCACTACCCTGGTGAGTTATTTCGACAACGTTCAACATCAGATGCTTCAACCCTAGCAACAGTTGCCAAGGAACTGTGTAAAGCTACTGGTCTAGGTGGGTCAACAACCACACAAAATCATCCGCCATTTTTATTTTACTTTTGGCTTCAGTCACTGCTTTATGTGTGTTTTTATTTTCTTTCAAATTTCCGGAAACTTCAATGTTTTGATTTCAAAATGAGGCTTTCGTTGTCAAGGAAGATGAGATGAAGAATGGGCTGCGTCACAAGGACTTGCTTTTTGTGTTGTTGGTATGAAGATGCCATAAAATGGCCGCCTGATGACTTGCTCTTTCAATTTCTTTTTTTTCGTATGTTCAAAACTTGCCTGTCTGCAGTAAATTAATGATATGGGTTTCAGAAACTTATTTTCAAAAAGATCCAAACAAAAATGAGAGAGGCAATATTTTGGACATCGTTATTTACATTATTTTGTTTTCGTTCCTTGGCACTGTTGCTATGTGATGATTTTTTATGCTTCCATTTTATTTCCACTCTTCAATGCTTTTTTGATGTTTTCACAAAAAGGTATGTACCTCACTGAATATTACTTTTTGTTACAACATTTTAAGAGATGCTTAAATTTTTGGTATATTTTGTCCAAGAAATAGGAAATTTACCTCGGTGTTGGAAGAGTTGTAATAGAATTAATATGCATAGCAAATGCATAGCGTTTGATTACTAATACTATGCTGTGAGCTATGCTTTATCATATATATATACTCTTGACCTAACATCTTATCAGACAATCAAAAATTGTGTTTTTATTAATATACACGACAAGAAAATTCTGGATGCTTTATCAGCTGTGGACAGACCACATCCTTGAAATTCAGAGTCCTGAAGTTCAAATAATTTTGAAACCTACAAATATCTATAGGATCACATCCCTTGAAATCCAGACCTGTCCTTCTCTAGTACAAAAAACATTTGGCTACTTGTACCCCAGTTTTAATGGAAATTCCCTAACCCAAGCTAAAATGCGTTTATTTTATCCCCCTGTGCAGCTCGGCCCAGTTTTCTAAACCTGCGAATGTCGAGTGTTCATGGTAAAGATTTTGAAGATTTTAATATTTTCTTTAGACTATTTGGTAGTAAGAGTGACCATTATATTTCTGTATTGTTCTTTCTCTCTCATTGTGTCCGTTCTGTGTTGTCATCTTTCTTTCCTGAAAACTCTTCAAAACTCTTTGAAAATTGGTTCCTTAGTATAAGCAATATAGACAATATCAGCTTGTCCGTAAGCTTGTCTATAATATGCTAAAAATTGAATGCACACATGGCTTGAGTAGGAAAAGTTGTTCCTTATATAAGCACATTACTGACAGGTGGTAGGACAAACCGCTTTTACACTCACAGCTTGAGTAGGACAGATGGTAGGACAAACCGCTTTTACACTCACAGCTTGAGTAGGACAGATGGTAGGACAAACCACTTTTACACTCACAGCTTGAGTAGGACAGATGGTAGGACAAACCGCTTTTACACTCACAGCTTGAGTAGGACAGATGGTAGGACAAACCGCTTTTACACTCACAGCTTGAGTAGGACAGATGGTAGGACAAACTGCTTTTACACTCACAGCTTGAGTAGGATATATGGTAGGACAAACTGCTTTTACACTCACAGCTTGAGTAGGACAGATGGTAGGACAAACCGCTTTTACACTCACAACTTGAGTAGGATAGATGGTAGGACAAACCGCTTTTACACTCACAGCTTGAGTAGGACAAACCGCTTTTACACTCACAACTTGAGTAGGATAGATGGTAGGACAAACTGCTTTTATACTCACAACTTGAGTAGGATAGATGGTAGGACAAACCGCTTTTACAATGGTTAGAATGAGAACCACATGACAAAACTCTCAATGGTTCTGTGGTACCTTCAGTTTAATTTAAAGCTTCAATATTTTCAAGCAGAAATGATTTTGTACAAGAGTTATCAGGAATATATGTTGTTTGAATGGCGTCAATGTTTGCACCATCTGGTATGTTTTATATTGTACCCATTAACTGTTGTCTGTATTCGTTGAATATTGTCAATATTTTTGTAGTTAGTTTTTGATGATAAAGTTTCGAAATTCATAATCTGAAATTTTGGGAACTTTTCGTTTGTTTTAATATTAGATTATCTCTATGTAGTAGACAAAAATTTTCAAACAATTCAACAAATGGTCCTATAATTTTAATTTGTTAGGAAAATACTTAAAAATATATTTTTTATGACATGCAAAAGGCGGGACTACATATGTCAATCACAAATTGTTGTACAGCAGACTTCATGCTCTAAACACAAAGACACTTACATATATGCTAAAGGCGGGACTCAATATGTCAATCACAAATAACTGTATAGTAGATTTTATGCCCTACACACACAGCCAATTATATGTATTCTAAAGACAAGTAGACATGCAAGAGGCGGGACTAAATATGTCAATCACAAATTGCTGTACACATATGGCATATTTTATTATCTGCACAGCCTATAAAATGTGTGGACATGCTTAAGGCGGGACTAAATATGTCAATCACGTCACATGACAATTCCCTACAGAGGAAGTAACATCTTAAAGATAGTTAAGTGATAAATGCATGTAAACCTAAGTGTGTATTTTTTACAAGTTCACTTCACAATTTTTGCACGTTTTTAAACTAATTAATACTTAATTAATACTTTAATTAAGAGTGTTTACAAAGATAATATAATTGTTTGGTAGAATTTAGATAGCTTTATTGAAAGTTAATTTATGAGGACTCATTATTCAAGTCTACCCAGCTGTAGATGGGGACGGATAATCCAGGAAAGATCAATGCCAAGAGGTTTGGTCAAAGACCTGCTGGTAGAAAGGATCCTTAACTGTGAACCTAAGTTATTATCCTTGTAAAATATAGTTTTTTCTTTCTTTCTTTTCTTCATTACCATATATAGATAAAGCTTGGCTTAGCCAACATAAGCAGGGATTATCACTTATGATTTAAAAGCATTTAGCTGCTTAGATAAGCACCTTGAAAATAACCTAAATAACAAATTTCTAACACTTAGTTTCCTTCATTGTACGTGGATTTTGCCCCCTGTTCACATGTTGTAATGAAGTTTCATCTTGCAGGAGGTTCCAAGTCCGTAATGAGTCCCCACTCTCTGAAATTGATGAAACCAATGACAACACTGCTTGAAGAACAAAACCATCGGGAACAAAAACCATTGTTACACCAGAGCACTGAAGAGGTAAGCGCTGCGGGTTGGAAACTCTGAACATTGCTGTATTATGAAATCCCCTTTCAACCAGAGGCCAAAGATCTTTATTCCTGGTGTTTTGGGAGATAAGTTCCAAGCGTGCCTGAATTATCAAATCCACATTCTGGAGTTAACAGTTGATGATCAAAGCATCAAGGATGCAGGTGCGCAGAGTTAAAAGCCCATCTATGAATTTTTCCCTCAGTCCATAATTGAATCCTTTTCTGCTTCAGGAACTTGATGAAGAAGACGAAGATGATCTTGGGGTCAAACCAGTTCATCACCTTGACGACCATCAACACGATTCCGACGATTTTCAAGAATTTGAGTCTTTTCAAAGTCAACAAACCCGGGTTCAAAGTTCAATGAACAACATGACCCATTCTTCAACCAACGACAGTTTAGTGGAAGGTCAAACCAAGAGTTATACCCCTTCCATGACCTCTAGTGGGTACGCCAGTCAGGCTGTTTCTACCTTGACACTATCCTCGGAAGATTCCATGAGCATCAAATCTATTGAAGAACATGGCGACGGAAAAGGGAAAAAAATGCGGCAGAAGTCAGCTAGCACAGAGACTAGTAGTGAGAGTGATTCTGATGACCGTGGAAACAAGAACAGTAACTCTGATCATCCACAAGCAGATGACTTACCCAATGAAGCTACGGAGAATTCTGTATGTGTTAAAATGGAAAGATCTGATTCTTTATTGGATGAAAATGTTCCTGATATACCCGGCTCGCCGCTTAAACCCATACCTTCCCCACCGGTTACAGCCGAACCATTTTTTCAATCAAATGACCCTAAACTTGACAATCAGACGAAGAATTCTGAAGCTGATACTAAGGATTTAGAAAATGGACAAAAAACCAGTGATGGAAAAGAGACAACAGAATCTGAATCAAGCATTGAAAAAGATGCTAATAATCCAGAAATGAAAAAGGAATCAGAGAAAACGATAGACATAAAGGAATCCCAAAATGTGGAATCGGAAAGCTCAAAAGCTGAATCATCTTCGTCTGCTAAAAAATCCGTCAGAATGCGACCGAAATTGCCTGTATTTGATGACAATAGTGCAATGTGTGTGAACTCTGTGAATGCTCCAGATAGTGATCTGTATAGTGTGAATGCTCTGGAGGAACTTGAAAAATTACAAGACATTGACGAAGATGCTGATGAGTCTTCTCAGCCACTCAGTGATAAGTCGCATTTAAATCGACCAATCAGTGATGAATCTTTAAATAAATCATCCAATGAGGTGAAGTCTTTAGACAGAGCTGATGTTTTGAGAAGGAAAGGCTCGTCTGGTCGACCTAGACCGGTTTCTTGTATTGGAACACCCCAGACGCAATCATTGTATCGTACTGGATTAATGCCTGATGTTGATAGACGAAGCAGCTTGCATTTCACAGATGAACAAGCTCAAGGTTAGTGGCTTAAAGATTTTCATGTAAAGTACCAGTGAGGAAAGACCATAAATAAAAAAAGTGCACTTTTGGAGAAAGTCTTTAATAATTTTGTTTGTTAACAATATTTTTCTGTTTTCTACTTTTAATAGGTTTTGAAGATTCAATGTCGGAATGTTCATTTGGAAGCCGAGCTGATCTGGATCGTATTTTAGATATACCAGTACCCTCCTGGGTAAAGGAAGGAGAGGGCGTCACTGTCACCTCTTCCAGGGGTACTGTACCCAAGTCTGGTGTGGTCAGATTCGTGGGTCAAGTGGATTTTGCTGCTGGAAATTGGATTGGTGTAGAGCTAGATCAACCTGAAGGTAGGTTCAAATTTATTTTGGGAGTTGGCAGTTTGGTAAAGGATGCAAATTGCATGATTCCAATCTTTGTTTGTGTTTGTCAACTAAGCTATCTTTACTTAATTGTTCTTTTGGCATGTTTTATTGGTCGATTCAAATAAGGGAACTTCTCCAGTGCAAATTGCTGGCGAGTCCTGTTCCCATTTGCCCAATTGGGAGCACAAAAGTAGGGTGTAAAACTCCATCTCTTTTCATTTCAGGTAAAAACGACGGGTCTGTGAATAAACAACGCTATTTTAAATGCCGTTCTCGGCATGGGATATTTGTTCGTCCAGACAAACTCATCTGGGATAAGAAGAGGAAAAGTGTCAAAGGTCAAAGTTCACGACGGAGTTCGGGTATGACCTCATCAGTGTCAAGTGGAAGCTTGTCAGGTTCGAAGGGTAGAACGCCCACCAAAAAATAAACTGTATGATATTTAAGACTATTTTTTTGAATGCATCCTCATTTAGTTTAGTGCTCATCTTATAGCTGATTACGGTTGATCTCTTGGTGATGCACCAGTGATGCTCGAAACATCACCCATGTCCTTATAATTATGACATCCAAAATTGTCCCTCAGATGTGACGTTTTTGCACCTTTTGTTGATGTGATTTTCAAATACAATGGATTGAATTTATTAGGGACAAAACGGCTCAAACTTATTTTGTGCAATATTCAAATAAATGGCTTTGATAACCGTTTTTATTGATTTTATGCGGAATTATAGGGTAATAGTTTCAAATGAGGCGTTGTCATGGATCATAAGGTCTGATTTTATGATTAAACACTACTTCTGTTCCAATATTCTGTCAGATGTCTGTGGTTCCTGTAATTCAGGAAATACTGTACTGTTGATGATGTCTTCATTATTAAGCATCTTTTGCGAAAGTGATGTCATCAAACGCTTAGTTTTAGACGAATAACAAGAACCACAGACGTCAAAAATTGGAATGGTGCAAGTTGATGCTATCAGTGTCCCTGATACACAAAAAATTTTAGAAAAGATCACAAATTTCAATTTCAAACTGAAAGTAAATCCTTGGATTCTATGAAACTATCTAGTCCTTTTTCATCTTCTATGTAGTCACATTTATCATGTCACACTTTTTTTTGAAAATGGCTGGTCACTGCTGTAAATAGATTCTGTTAATTGTAAATACGTAATATGCAAGATGATTCAGTACTCTTATGCACTATTATTGTCTCCCTTGACCCGATGAATGACGTCAAATTTAAAATGGCGGCTTATGTTTTACTTTTCTGCATTTGATTGGGTTATGAAGAGGGGCAAGGCCATGCTGTGTGCAATGAAGGACACTTTGCAAGGACAGTGGCACTAGCCTGGTTGAATTGTTGATTTCCAACTGTCGAGGGATGTTAAACGTGCACAGCATGTAGCACACAGGGCCTCGGTTTATTTTCCCGTACAAACGACTAGACGTTTTTTTTTTCCCATGTCATCCCGAACAATATTTTTCAGTGGAAATATTTGAGTATTGCATGAATCTTGCTTTAGAAAATTGTATATATTAAAAATTGTAGTTGGCTTGGAGATAATTTTAAATTTAGGTGTGCTTAGCTAAGGGACAGACTTGATTAACCAAACACGGCCAATGGGAGCTTAGCAAGGCCTCAATTTGTACCGTCTCTTGTTTAATCAAGTAAGTCCCATCAAATTGTGCATTTTAACTTTGAATATTTTTTGAATAAAAATAACTCACTATATTTGAATATTTGTGAAATTTAGTTAACTTAGAATTTGAAAAATTCTTGTACATAAAGATTAGCTCAACCAATGAAATTGCATAAAACATTTGTATATTTTAGCTCAACCAATTACAATGCATGTTATATTTAGCACAACCAATTCAACCAATCAATGACTGTGTTACAAAGTTTGTAGTTCTAATGAATAGAGAATATGTAAGTTATAGAGGTATTATTAAGGATGCTGCCATTTACACCAAAATATATTGAAACTTAGAATATAAGCAAGCAAAGACTTGATATTTTGCACTATTTGGTTGTCTGTGATTTGTCACCTAATAGATTTGTTCCTGTATTATGTAACAGGAAAAGGTTAGCCAATCAGAATGTAGTAAAGAATCATGTGATCAGAAAGAGCCAATGAAAATATTATCAAATGAAATCTAATGTTGTCAATTTATTAACCAATGAAATTATGTTATTTTTTCATTAATGAAAATGTTAGGGATCATGTGATCAGAAAGAGCCAATGAAATGATTGTACTATTGTCCAATGAAATCAAACGATGTCAATTGATTGACCAATGAAATCATGTTATTTTTTAGTCATTAACCAATGAAATTATGTTATTTAGTTATTAATATTTCTGTTATATTTGTGATTTTGTATTTGAGTTGTGATTAAGTAAAGTGATGAAAAACTTTTCGGGTACAATTCGAAACATGAACAGGACCAATCCATTTAGTTTTAGGTAAGATAAATAGACTTCGAATCTGCACAAATCAGACTTAAACCACCCCGAATTAAAATCGATTGGTCATGGTTTGTCGTGGAGCATTCTATTTTGTTTTAGGGTGGGAAAAGTGGTAATTTAAACTGAACTAGGCAGACGTACAATGTGTTCTTACTACTTATACTACCTGAAATCAAAGTGAACAGGTCCTGTTTATGGTTTGAACTGTACCTAGATGTAATTTTTGATGCTTTAAGTGTTTTTGTTGTGAAATGCCATCATGAAAGCTTCAAACTCATGCTCTGATCTTCGTCATCCACTATTGTTGTATTTTCATTCTTATCAGAGTGGGAATTTTTTCACAAGAGTTCAGAATTCTAAATTGTCTTAGACTTCTTCAGAAGCATGACCCATATTTATAAAATAAAATGGTTTCTTTGGCAAGACTTCTTTAGAAGAAAAGCCCATAATTATACAAATGTAATGACTTCTTTGCCAAGTCTTCTTTGCCAAGTCTTCTTAAGAAGCAAAGACCACAATTATGAAGTATAATGGCTTCTAAAGCCACTCCTCTTTGGACAGACTGTGATCACTTGATAGAGTAACTTTTATTTATTTCTTAATCATTCCATTCTTCCATTTTAAATATAGTTCGTATCTGGTAATCAGAGCTTAATAATTTCACAAGATCTGATTGGTCAACGATATTTAAATCAATTTTTTAGCCAATCAGAGTTGTTGAAATTAGATAGTTAGGATTGCTATCAGCTGAGGCTAAGAAGAAAAAGCCATGTGTACATGCAAAAATTATGCAGTTTCGATTTGAAATTTAAGCCAATCATATCCATGCAAGTCTAAACCTATTGTAACTAGTTGTTTGATTGGATAAAGACAAACATGACTGAAAACTGCACACATTTGAACCCATCCCAAATATCTAATTCAACATTCAAAGAAGAAAATCATATCATATGTCTTCAGATTTCTTTTTTTCTTTACATTTTCATTTCCATATAAGGTTTGTGATTATTAATAGTTGTGCTAATTTGAATAATTTATGTAAATTTATTTAAATTTCTACTCATTATTCGGATTGTGAATTTTTTTTGTTGATTTTTAAAAATATATTCATTATTATTATAAGTATGTATATATGTATGATTTCGTTACAATTTTCGATCACTCCTTAAGTTTTAAAACAGAAATATTTTCAGTGAATTCAGTCATTTGGTGTTCACAGCTTCGAAGCTGAAATTTAACGAAAAATATTTCTGTTTTGAGACTGGAAGATGATGAAAATTATAGTTTTTGTTTTGGTTATGAAATATATATTCTTTCAATTGTTAAATTATGTTCACTTCAATCTTTCTGTTAGTTAACAATTAAGTAAAATTCATCCACAGGCTGTGCTTATTGTGAGCTTGTTGTTGACTGACCTTATGGTATATAAATTCTTTAAGCTGTTAAACTAGCAATCAACAAGAGTATTCTAGTGATAAAAGACAGCGTTCTATAAGAGGTTAACATGTAAGAAAAATTTTGTCATAGCCTGTGCTTTTGTGAGTCTGTCTGTTGCTGACTTGGTACATTATTTTTTAAACTTAGTCAATCTATAAGAGAATGCATGCTTTGTAATCATTGAAGATGTTTTAGTTATATCTGATCTCTCACTCTTAACATGTAAGCAAAATTTTTATTCCATGGCAAGTGCTGTTATGAGTCAGCTAAGTGTCAACCTTCAACCTTTTTCACCCAATATGTACCTGAAAGTCCGCTTCCAGATGAATTCAAACATACAATTTCGAAACTTTCGTTGTTTGAAATTTAACACCAATTGCTTGCAGATTGCAGTTTGTTTAAAATATGTTATATAATCTTGTAACTGGTTTGTCCATAAGTCTAAGTTTAAACATTTTTTGACCACACACCATTCAGAACTAAGCGTTTTATTCATTTGGATGTCAAAGATGTCTCTATTCAACAAGTACATGTATATTGAGTTAGACTTACAATACTGTTATTGAATTAAACTAAGTCTAATGTAGATGATGTGCCTTTCTTATTATGGGGTAAACTGGTGGGTGATTCTACATGAACTCTTCAACACAGTTTGAAGTCTTGAGCAGCCAAAAATCCCACGACCCAAAAGTCTTGGGATGTCATGAAGCTAATTCATGACTCAACCAATGCCCATTTTATCAATGATTTATGACTCAAATGATGAATGATTTACAAGGAGAGTAAGTAATACATTTTATTCACACAAATAGCAAATAAAATTTCACATAAACAGTGCAAGTTTGATCAAACTGTACTCTCCTTTCTCATGTGGCGACTTCTTCTGCTTGTATATGGCTCTCTTGTCGTTGAAACTTCGTTATTTAAAGGTTTCACTATAATCCACTTAAACAAGATTTCAGAACGCCAGGATTCCTGCAATAAAATACAAAACTTCGGTTATTCATCACAATTTAGCTCATGACAACTGTATGATCTTTTTGAAATCTGGCCCCAGATGATGGGTAAACCCTTCATTCACTCTCAAATGAAGTTAGAACTCTGGCATTTATGTTTTTAATCTGCAATTTGAAAATTTCACGACAAAGTCAGCCATTTTGTTTGTTTACATTTAGTCTTGATTATCAAAACTACGTTTTATAAACACATAAGTCTGGATAATCATGTCTTCGGAGTCTGCTTTGTTTCTAATAATCAAGACTGGCCACGCCCACGTGTTTCCCTACCATGCCCGCCATTCAAAGCCAAATTTGTATTTCCGTTGGGTCCAGAGCGATGATTCATGCTTGATTTGTTGTGTTAGAGTCCCTGAAAGACAAGAAAAAAAATCAATTTGGTCAAATATAACGAAACAATCACGCCATCACCAAAACAAAAAACACCAGCGTTACTGTATATTTTTTAGTGTTATCCGGCCAAATCAAAACTGATCAAAACATGGTCTAAGGGAGAGAACTCTTTTTAACAACGTCGTTGAGTTCGGTAGTGAAAAGACGAACAGGGTAGACTTGATTGTCCAAAAAACGAAATTATTGCATTACTCTGTACACGTCACTTCTGGTGCAAACAAAATGGCGGCATTTGGTAAAAATTTAAAGCATTCAAAGTTTATTTTGGCAGAAAATGACTTCATACGACATGATTTACTCGATTTAAGGTTATGGTGACAGTCCTTGGCCATATTTCTTTTTATTCTAATTTTCTTTTAACGGGTAGGTTGTTTTTATTTCTGAATTTCACGCGAGAACATGAAAGTAAACATTGTCATTTGACATTTGTATGATTTGTGATGCAGACTTTCATTGAAAGTTTCAATCCTAAACCAAAGTTCCTCTAGTACTAGTCCGTCCAACCCGCTCTTTCATAAACACAGAACTAAAGAAGTTCATGGCAGTTGCATAAATTAGGTCGATTGTTAAATACGAGAGAGAGAATTTGGCCTGTGTTAAGAGGTTTTCATCTAGTTGGAAGTTAGTTAATTATTTTAATGTTTGTATATTGTAGTAAAAGTGAAATCGAGTATTATGCTATGTTAGCTAAGACAGGTGTCTACCATTACGCTGGTAATAATATAGAATTGGGTACTGTGGTAAATACTTCCGAGTTGGAGCTTTAATTGACCCAGGTAAGTTTAACTCGATTTATTCTTTATTTATGTGTGTAACATTGTAAATTTATTTGATGTAAATTAAGATTTTAATATTTGAAATTGTAATTTCTTTCAGGGTTTGGGAAATTTGAGAAGCCTATAATATCTGAAAAGTTTTTATGTTACTTGGTAAAAATAATTATTTAAGAAGATTTTAATA